AACATGCACGCAACGGGCTGCAGCTGGGGAGGGCGCGCATGACATCGTGCTTTAAATTACCCATTAAATGGTGCGTTAAATTACGCATTGAATTGTGCATACAACCTGCTGCATCGCTGCCTGCACGTGCCTGGCATCGTGCAGTAAATGCGGGTAACGTGCTGCATCTGGAACTGGGAGTGCGGCGTGAATTAGGTGTGCATGCAGCGCTCTGCGTGTGAGGCTGGGTGTGCATTAAATGGTGCACTCCATGGACATGGGGTGCGTTGCAGCTGGGGCTGGGCATACGTTAAGTAGTGCCTTGAGTGTGCATGTAGCAGGCTGCATTTGGGGCTAGGCATGCTGTAAATTGTGCATTAAATAACACATTGAGAGTGCACGTAACATGCTGCATCTGCAGCCAGGCATTTAATAGTTCATTAAATAAATCGTTCATTAAGTGCTCATATAGCATGCTGCATTTGGTCAGGCATTAAATACTGCATTAGTTAGTGCACTACATCTGCGTATAACATGCTGCATTTGGGGCCAAGCGTGCATCAAATGTGCGTGTAACATGCAGTTGAGGTTGCACATGCAGTAAATAATGCACTGAATGGGCACATAGTATATTGCTGTTGGGGTTGGGCACGTGTTAAAAAGTGCATTAAAAGCACATTGAGCATCTTGCGTTCCTGGCTGATCCCGTGCTGCTGCGCAGCGTGATTCAGGAGCAAAGCTCGAGTGATGCAGGACGGCCTTTGCCTTACTCGGGAGGTGCAGAATTGAACCTGCTTTTTAAATCTGGGTTAGGTGAGGCGGAGGTGCAGGGAGCTACAGAGTGCACAGAAGTGGATTTCTGCTTCTGTTCCTGCTGGTTGGGACCCTGCCAGAGCGGTTTCATAGCCCTCCATGGGTGTGCACAGCCTTGCATGGGGCAGCCAGACCCACAGCTCAGGCATGTGCAGAAAAGGGGTGAGCCAGGATCACCCACAGAACAGTCCTCCGTGGAGTGGCAGTGGGGCATTTTGCAAGGTTGCAACCCCCTGAGCAATGCATGGCGTTGAGCAAGGGGCACAGGATTGCAGCTCAACATGTCCCCACTGCTGCATAATCAGTACTGGGGGTCCTCAGACTCATTGGGGTGGCCCCATTTGTCTGAACTGCAGGCATCTGGGCCATTGTGCAGCTCTTGGAGTACCCCACAGCGGGACAAGAAACCAGAGAGAAACTCAGTAAATGGAGCATGGAAACATGCTGGACACAGGCACCCTGCAAGGGAGATCAGAGGGAAAGTAACGCCAAAAGAAACCACTTTAGGGCACAGCCAACAGCCTGGCTATGGCACTGGCTGGGCAGAATTAAAATCTTGCCGAAACTGCTCTGAAAAACTCTTTGTGCTTTGCGCTGTGGCTGGCCTGCCTGTGCCAGCCCTGCTCCACTGCTGGAGCTCCCAGGAGGTCCCACCTGAGTCTTGTCTTGGGGTGAATTGTTCTCACTCATCGCTGTCTTCTACACCCTACTAGACTACTGATGAAACCAGGCTGGCCTGTATCCAAGTAATTGTTCTCCAGCTGCAGGATCAGACACTGCCAGAATTTCTTATCCTGTAGCATGAGAACAGACTCGGGATCGTACCTTAAGTCTTGCTGCATGGTGCTCCATCACCCCAGCAGCTGGGTCTATTCCTGCATCTCAGTCTCTCACGCTCTCTGAACTTTTCAGTCACCATTTTTCCGACTTCCTTAACCTTTTTCAAGCCATCCATAACCTGGGGGAGACCTGGAGGATCTAGTGGGCTGCTTGTTGCTGTTCATGCTGGATTGTGGTGGGGGAAGGTAGACCCTCTTTATGCCAGGACGCCCGGGGCTTGGCATGTGCCCTGAGCTACAAACAGGACTCAGCAGGGAAGCTATGAAGCTCCTGCAGCCCCCTGGATAGGGGACCCTGGACAGGGAAGGAGTTTTGGGGCGGTGTCACCTAGTCTCTGGATCAGGTACTGTGGTGGCATGAACTCAGATCTTTTGCTTTACTGCAGGCCCAACAGCGGTTGTGTGTGATGCTGCCAAGTGCTGGTGTCTATTACTTCCCATGGGAGATCAACAGCTCAGTCCCGGAGGGAGAGGCACTGAGGACGTTTGGCAGGTGAGAAGGGTAGCCTGCTCTCCTTGCAGGCCAGGCCTTTCCTTCACTGGACTCCCTCCTTTTGTTTGCAATTGTTGTATCTCTGCACCGCTGAGCTTCCCAAATCAATCATTCTCAGGTTATCCTGCTATGACCTGGCCCAGTCCAAAGCTGTTCTCACCGCTCAGCACAGCTCAGCTCAGTACCGGGTCTGTGTCGACACCAAGTTTGTGGAGCCGTTCCAAGCTCAGCTGGGATCTTGCTACATAGTCCTGGGAGAGGCTGAACACAGAGAAGGTAAATGCTGCAGGAACCAGTGCCCTTTGCTGCTGTTCGTGGTTCATCAGCTCCTTCATGGCTCCCTGGGTGCATAGCTAGACACACTGTCACTGAGGTTAGTGTTGGCCAAGTCAGGCTCATCTCATGTGGCTGCCTCCGGTCGCACGAGCGTGTGGTTTAGGGCAGGAGCAGCCTATCTCTCCTCGTTGACCATGAGAAGAGCCACCCCATCTTGGTGAAAATCTGGTGCTCTGGCACAGATTTCGTTAGAAACAAGAAACGCCTCAGCAGCATCGCTGAGCTTATGAAACCTGTGCGAAAGCTTTCTGGCATCATTGCCAGCCACCACATCGTCATCGCTCCAAACGTGGCTGATTGCAGCAATACCTCATTGCAAGCTGGCTGGGTTGGTCGTTGCCATCCTTGAAAGGCTCTAATTATACCCCTGTCCTCAGACATGGGACGTGAGGAATGCAGGCAGGCTCTGTCATGCAGGGCACCCTGTCGTCCTTTCCTGGGGTGCCCTGAGTGTTTCTCCAGCTGCACAGTGCTTTGCATGGGGAGTTCATCTGAGCTGGGCTGTGGCGTTGTGAAGCAAATTGCAAGTGTTGTCTTGGCCACACTTGATAACAAGCATTTGCATTCGTGCCATTGAAATCCTCAGTGGCATGTGGAAAGCCACACTGCATGTGGCATCTAGTGAGTGACCTGCTAAGCCTCTGCTGCAAAATTCATTTAGAATGACCTGTTACTTTGGTCGTCACAGCTCAGGAGTGAGTTTGCCCCATTTTGCAGAGGTGGAAGGGGAGCAGGCTGAGATGGTGGTTGTGTGACCAAGGTTTGGCGCCTTTTGTGCAGCTCCATGTTACCATTTGAAGGACACCGATGAACTGTTGGTTATAGTCAGCATTGAGCCTCTTCTAAGCCCAGCTTTCTTCTGCACTCTTCTTGTCTGCACATTCAGAAATGAGCTTAGACCCATCCCTGGTGCTTTTTAGACAGGGAAAACCACACTTCATCCAGCCACAAAGTAGACAGATGCTGCATGGCAGGTACTGGCACTGACATACCGTGGACTCAGCATTCCCCAGTGCAAGGAGAGCGTAGTGTCGCCAGCATTTGGTAGCCAGCAGGGCAGAGGGAAAGCACGTCACTGAATTAACCTGCTCCCGGGCCTGCTGCTGGTGCCGGTGGAGGCACGCAGCCAGTCCGGTCTCCTGCAAGTTCTCAGGCTATGGTTATTTGGCCAGCCAGAGCCATGTGCTGCCTGAAGGAACCTCTCTGTGTGCCTCCGAGCTGCTCCATCTGTTTTTCTTTCTACAGAAACTTCCTGTTTATATTCCCAGGTGGGAGTCCTGTGGTAAAGGCACGAATATTGACCTGCGTGGAAGGGATGAACGTGCCCTTGCTGGAACAAGCCATACAGGACCAGAGGAAATACTTCAACGAGAGGCAGGAGCAGATGGGAAACAGCATGTCCTGACAGCAGCTCTGAGACCAGCCATACGCTGGTCCTTGTGCTGCTGTTTGCAACAAATACGTTAGAAGTAAATTTAGAAGGTGGGTTTGCAACATACTGCTTTTTGCCATGGCGAATAGCAAAGTCAAGTCACTAAGCAGGGAAACACTTGAAGACCGTGAGTCAGTATGTGACTGTGGCTTGTCCATTCAGGCCAGGTGTCATCACTGAAAATAGCTCTGGGAAGCAGGTTTGTTGTTTGTTTAAAAGGGTGGTTAAGGGAAGCGAGCGCTTGAGTTGTACTGGCCCTTTTGTGATGCAAGGCTTGGAGACATCAGAAAAAGCAGAAGTCTCTGAATCTCAAGTTAAAGAGCTTACACCCACAAGCACTGCCAAAGTGCAGCAGGTTACCAGGCTGTTGGCAGATCAGAGGTAAAGGGCATTAGCACAAAGTTCGTTAGCCCTGCGTGGCTGCGGGTCCATGAATGCATGTGTTTGTTTACCGTGACTCAGCTGCCACACAGGAGTGTTCCTGGCAAAACACTCAGATTATCTGGACTGACCAACAAAGAAACAAGAAGAATGAAGAGTCACTATTTTCAGTAGCACCTCCTTCTTCCGATTTTCAGGAGCTGCTGTCCAAGGGTAGGGATTGACTGTAGCTCTGAAATAAATATTTGCAGTGCCCTGAGAACCACCACTTGACTTTCTTCCTTGACACAACTAAGTTTAGGAGACCCTAAATCACTACTTTTTTGAAGCATCTAACGGTTTTCATTGATATTTACCTAAATAAAGATGAAAAGATAAGGCAACGTGTGTTTTATTGATTAAAAACCTCTTTCTTGCAAAGGCAAATGCATTAGGCCTTGCAGAAACCCCATGGATGATGTAAGAAAATTTAGCGATATGCAATTGTCCTCCTTCTCCTAAGTACTGGGTGTGTAAGGAAGTGCTTGGCTGTGAAAAGGTTGCAAGAAGAGGCGATGAAGTTACATCAGAGCCACTCAGGTTTAAGAACATGGTGCCAGGCCCACCTAGCAGAATTAAACCATCAACAAAAAGACAGAAAAATCACTAATGTGAGATAACAATAAAATGTTAGTGCAGGAGAGAGAAGACTGTCCTGTGCTATATGAATCCCCAGACCTGGAGCGTGCTGCGACTGTAGTTTGCAGGGGAATTCAGCCATGTGCAGCCTTTTCTGGTTTTTGTTGAAATTATCTGGTGAAATGTTCGGAAAATAAGGACAGAAGCTGTACAATACACAGCAGCAGATCAAAATGCAACAGGTATTGGCAAAATCCCCTGTTACCAGCAGGCTTGGTTCAAGGGCCTGAGTTAGCTCAGTAATTACAGTGCTTGCTATGATCTTTAATCATAGTTTCACCTTATGTTTTTCTTCATGCAGTTACGGGGATCCAAAAGCCCTGCCTCAGCACACTCTCTGTTCAGCCCAAGTCCAAAAACATGATCTCGAGAGGCAAGATTTTAACCTGGTTTTGTAAGAGACAATGAGTCTGTCATGATGTGTTTGTGTTTACGCCTCATCTCCTGTCTGTTTTACCTTCCTCCTCATTTTATCCAAATGGCTTAAATTTTATCCAAGTGGCCAGGTTTGCCAGAGAGTGGGGAATATCCAAGATGCCAGGACTAGGAATATCCAAGATACCAGGACTGGGAACATCCAAAATACCAGGTTTCTACAAGTGTTATGATAAAAAATCCCAGAAACCCAACCAGCCAGGAATAGGAGAGCAAATTTGGCAATGACTCCGAATGGAGACATGAGTGCAAACTCAACCTTCACAAGCCACCAGAGAACCCACACAGGAGTTTGCCATGGTCATGTGGATCCCTACTCAGGCACAGAGCAACCACGCTTTGGTTCTTTGAAACTGGCAAAAATTAGGAACAATTTAAAGAAGATTCTGAGCTGGTGGCTCAGCAATGGGCTAAATCAGTCCTTTTTAGGTCACATAAAAGTTGAGGTCTGCACAGTGGACCCACGCAGCCAGTGGGCTGCTGTGTTCTGCTGTGCCCACCCAGAGACATGGAGCGCCCAAGCCCTCCAGAAGACAGTCCCTGTGGTTCTACCTTCCCTGGTGCCACAATGCGTAATATTTTTTAATCTGTCAGCTGTCAAGTCAATGATTAATCCCTCCCCAAGGACACTTTCCAAAAGGTTGACCAAGCGGCGCAGCCCACGGTGGGGAGGTTCAAAGGACAATTGCGCAAAACTAAAAAAAAAAAACAACCAAAACACCAAACAAAATCCACAAACTGAAAAAAAGACATTTCTGCTTTGTGTTTGACCTGAGCGTGTCCCAGGGAACCCTAATTATGCGCTGCATCCCCTCTATGCCAGGTGCTGCACATACACAGCTGGAGAGCTTGCCCTGGCCTTGCGCAGTCCCTGCTGCCTTACCCGCAGGCCCAAAGCACCTCTTTACATCCATTTTGTTCAATTTTTGCTTTAGCCGGCACACCACACAACCTGGGTCGCGGGCAGTCGGTGCACGGCGCGTTTGGCTCTTTGGGTCTGCCCAAGGACCCCTGCCACCCCCAGACGTGTGCCCAGGCAGCGCGCTCTGCCTGCGGCTGCCCCGGTTCAAGGCAGGTCCCTGCGCTGGGGGAACCGCAAGAGGAAACCCAGACCCCGAAAGCACCTCAGGGGACACACGGGGAGAGCAAACACTTGAATTTGCCTTCCCCCCCGCCCCCCATTTTTTTTTTTCTCCTCAGAAAGTGGTGCCAGCCAGGCCTGCTGCCGTCACAAGGCTGAGGCAGCACCATGGATGCCTTCCAGGAGGTGTTTCAGAAGGTGGAGAAGATCGGGGAGGGCACCTACGGCGTGGTGTACAAGGCTCGCAACAAGCGCACGGGGCAGCTGGTGGCCCTCAAGAAGATCCGCTTGGACTCGTGAGTGGGGCAAAGCCCCAGCCCCTGGGGCTGCCATGGCCTGGCCCAGCCCAGTGCCAACCCGGCCCGCCATGACGCCAGGCCGGCTGCCTCCTCAGCACAGCACAGGTGCTGAGGCGAGGGGAGGGGGGGCAAGGAAGGCAAATGGCTCCTCTGGGGCCAGCAGCGTGCCATCTGTGAGGAGATGGCCACCAGCTGAGCCTAGCAGTGCCCCAGCTCCGCCATGGGAGTGAGCAGAAGGGCCTTGAGCCCAGCCCAGTGTCCAAAATGGTGCGAGAGGCTCAAAACAGCCTGACGTGAGGGAAAATATTTTTTTCTGTAGGCTTATGCAAACAGCTAGGGCCTCACTTGGCACTACTTGGTCCTGGTCTCATGGAGCACAGCAGGGGGAAGTAGCCACCATTTTGGGAGGTGGCCTCTCCCTCAGGGGTGTGATGCCAGGGCCTGGTGAGGCTCAGGCTCCCGGCAGGGCCAACTTCAACCCCTCCAGGGTAGGAACTGAGCAGATAAAAGCTTATTACTGTTCCCCTGGGTCAGCCCTGGGTTGCCTCCATGATGAGGGTGTCAGTGTGTGCCGGCGGCCATGGTGGTGGGACTGCACCCCATGGTGTCCCCTCAGGACGGTGGAGGTGGCTGCTTGAGTGACAAAGAGCTTTCATCTCCCCGTGCCTCCAGAAAGCCAGGATTGGGCATTTAAACCATTATTGCTTCTCCAAATGTGCCCTCAGGTGCTCCCAAACAATCCCTGCCCCAGAGCTTGCACTCTCTAGGTCACCCCTTCCCTCTCCTTCCCCACAGCTCCACTTCCCCCATCTTGCCCCATGCACGGCTCCATCCGAGACTTGGGGTGCCCAGTGTGAGACACCCTCCCCTGAGCAGGTGATGGGTACAATGGAAGGGAGAAGGGACCGCGGCGGGCTGCGGGATCCCACCGGGGGACGGGGGGGATCCCACCAGGGGACGGGGTGCTGTACAGCCCATCTCTGCCACAGGGAGACAGAGGGAGTCCCCAGCACCGCAATCCGAGAAATCTCACTGCTGAAGGAACTGAAGCACCCCAACATAGTCAGGTAAGACCGGGATGAACCCTCCTCACCAGCTCATTGATGAGCTCCTGCTTGTGGAGCCCTGGGTATAGGCAGCAAGAGGGGTTTTGCTGTCGTTCCCTGACTGCACAGACAGGAGCAAAATAAAACAGAGAAAATGCAGGCATCACTTGTACTTCCCTGGTTCTCCGCAATAGCTCACACCACTGCCGCTTCACTCCAGCAACACAGGCTGGTCCAAGCTGCTGCTGCCCCGTACTGCTTTTATATCTGCCTCTCTCTGCTCCAAAGGACTCACAGAGCATTGGCATCTGTGGGAGGAGGGATGTTTGGGTATTTGCAAAAGTCTAGAAAAGGTGCTGAAAGATACTGAAGGGAGTGCTTGCGCTTCTTTTGCAGCCTTCTGGACGTCATACACAGCCAGAAGAAGCTCTATCTGGTGTTTGAGTATCTGAATCAGGACCTGAAGAAATACATGGACTCATCCCGAACTGGAGAGCTTCCTTTAAGCTTGGTCAAGGTACAGTGTGGAAGAAGTGCTAACAGGCAGGGCAGAAAGTGTGTGTCCTTGCTGCCTTCTGCTGGGCAGAGCCAGACTGCATCTGGAAGAGATTCATCCTTGGCTGGAGGCATTCAGCCTCTCAGATCTCAAACATTTCAGCTAGGAAACCCTCGTGGCACTATATCTCATCACATATATTTCCCAGCTGTTTCCAGTCTCTCCAGCCCATCTCGCTGCAGAACAAACTGCTGTTTGGGATCTATTGCTAATTGCCTTTGTACAGAGTAATGGATAGGTGGAAGGGACTGCCACTGCTTGGACTGGAGTCTCTCTGTTCCCATGTAGGGTGGAAGCAGTTTGTGTGCGTCTCTGAGTAGTGGCCTGCAAGCCTGGTGTTGCATTATAGCAAGGTCTTTTTTCCCATTCATGTCTATAAATGATCCAAAGTGTGTTGGTTTTCCTAGTCCAGCCTTCGAAGAGGTTTCATCATGGTCTTGTCTGAAATCTGTTCTCTCCTTAGAACTACCTTTTCCAGCTGCTGCAGGGGGTGAGCTTCTGCCACTCGCACAGAGTCATTCACAGGGACTTGAAGCCACAGAACTTGCTCATTAATGAAGCAGGAGCAATCAAGCTGGCTGATTTTGGACTGGCAAGAGCTTTTGGAGTTCCCCTGCGCGTGTACACTCATGAGGTATTGTTGAGGCTCTCTGCCAGCTGAGAATGGGGTACACAATCCATAGTGGGTGAACAACAGCAGCACCACAAGTTACTCATCCATAATGGAGATACAGCTGTGCCCAGGCACGTGCTCTTAACCTAACCCGCAGCTAAGGGGTTACCTCATATCCCCACAAAGCATGCTGACTGTTTGTACCCTAGCCTGCCTGCAAGCTGAGTTCCCACCTCCTCTGCCTAGGGTCTATTTACTTGTTCCAGAGTGTCCTGTTGAAGAATGATCTGTTAATCCCAGTCCTGCTGTCACTAAGGTATCTGTTAATTCAGCATGGCCTTGGCACACTCTGATTTGTACAGTCACCGCATTACAGCTCAGAAAAAAAGGATCCCATGCCTCTAGTTCTACCCAGGGAAACTAGACAAAGTTTGTTTGTTGGTTCCTTACCAGGTGGTGACTCTGTGGTACCGAGCCCCTGAAATACTGCTGGGATGCAAATACTACTCGACTGCTGTGGATATCTGGAGCATCGGCTGCATTTTTGCAGAAATGGTAGAATGGGTTTAAATAGTCTCTTTAATGAGCAGGGAGGGGAAGTGGGGAGGGAGGGACAAGACGCAGAATATCTGTGATAGTGTGGTCCCACCCTCTGCTGGAGTGTGTTTTATAGAAAGTCCACCCTGAGGGTTAGCTGATCCTTGGCTGCGGGCTCTGAAGGAAATCTGCCACCCTCAGGGGCCTGGCAGAAGGCAAAGGAGCCTCTGTAGCCTGGCTGCAGTTCCAGGTACATGGGAATGTGATGCCCCTCCTTGCAGAAGGGGTAACTTCAGTCTTGTTCCTGCAGTATTTTGATCCTGGGAGGAGATGACTCTCTTGCAGATGTCCCCCCAGTGGGCTGCAGAGAACTAGCACTCACAGCATGGCAGAGTGGGTCTCCTAGGGGTCCATACTCTGCTTCGAAGAGCTCTTGTTGTCCCTGCAGTGTAATAGCACTGTCCCTAGCTCCCAAAGCCCCCGAGCTGCAGATCAGCAGAGCCTGGGTGAGTAGGCAGAGAGGGAGCTAGCCTGCAAGAGTGGGTGTTATGAAACTGGAGCCAAAAGAGGGGTAAAGGACTGGCTGAAGGAGGGACAGCCTCCGGGGAGCATGGATCCATGGAGAGGAGCTGGAGACAAGCAGTCAGACACCCGTAGCTTTCCCAACCACTGCCCGCCAGAATCGCTGCATTGTAACTGCCCTGGTCTGTGCAGTTGTTTGCACCTGCTGGAACAAAGGATTGTTTGCAGTGGGAAATGGGGCGCAGAGCTGATGGAAAAGTGGAAACTGGCGTTTTCATTTATTTTTTTTTTCCCTAGGTGACCAGGAAGGCTCTGTTTCCAGGGGACTCTGAGATCGATCAGCTTTTCCGGATCTTTCGCACCCTGGGCACTCCCACCGAGGTGACCTGGCCTGGAGTGACCCAGCTGCCTGATTACAAGGGGGACTTTCCCCGATGGGCAAGGAAGGAGATGAAGGAAATTGTTCCCAACTTAGATCGAGATGGTAGAGACTTACTGGTGGTGAGTGAGGGCTCAGAACAAGACCTGGGAACAGACAGGACCTTTCCAAACTGGGCAAAGAATAGAGATATTTGGGACTGATCTGCTGGGAAGTGCGTTAGCTGATGTGGCTCCAATGCTCATCTCTGCCATTGCAGAAACAGCAAATCATGGAACAGGGCTCAGTCCTGGCTCTGAAGCAAGGCTGTCATTGCAGGTTCCTCTAGGAAACCACTGCATTGAGGGTCGAGAAGCCCTTCTAGTGTAATGCGCATGGTAACCCACGACTGTGGGTTACTCCTGAAGCCTAGAGAGGGGAAAAGGCAGGACCAACATCTGCATCTGGGCCCAGCCACGTGCAGGTGCAATCGATCATTTGGTTTTTAAAATCCTAAATCTGCTGGGTTTTTCTCTTGGCAGCAATTGCTCCTGTATGATCCCAGCAGGCGCATCTCGGCCAAGGTAGCCCTCAATCACCAGTACTTCTTCTGGAGAAGCCCTCGGAGCCCTGAAGAGCGACGTGTGCTGCAGAGACACTGCAGATGAGAAGACACAGCTCTCCCCATGCACTTGTGCCTCTGGGTAGCAGTGGAGATCTGATTTTGGGCACTTAGCAGGAGAGCAGGAGGCTGGCTGGGACCCAGGGTCTCACTTCTCCTGAGGAACCTGGAGGAGACGTTCTTGCATTTAGAGACTCTCAGCCTGTTGCTGGGGGAAAGTTTGGGTTATGGCTAGTAGAGCTGTTTTGAAAAGGTCATGTGTGGAAGAGTGGGGAGTATGTATCAGCATAAAACACTGAAATGTGGATGAGAGAGCATCTTTCAGAGGTTTGTCTCTGCATTAGTCAGCAAGCTAAGGTGACACATGCTTATTTCTGTCTGTCTAGCACTGGAGCATCCCCTGTCTGACACAGGGTGTTTTGGAGCTCCACTTTGGGTAGGGGAGTGCTTTTCTGCTCAGCCCTTTGCTGCTGTTATCAAAGACTGGGCTTGTCAGCACTAGACAAGTTGTTTAATCTGAGCTGTTTAACAGAACTGACATTCTGCTCTTTCACAAGTGGAAAAGCACTATCAGGGGTCTTAATTGGTGCCTTAGTTGGCACCAAGAAGCCAAAAGATCCAGTTAGCATAAAGCACTTGCTGCATATGGCTGGAAACAGCAACATGAAACACTGGCTTTCCATCATCGTTCCAGATGTAGTGCTGTTTCCTTTGCTTTATTGTCTTGGAAATATTTTTGCTGTTCAAATATTTGGAGAACTGTCACTAATTTTTGGTGTGGTTTTGATATCTTCATTTTTTTTTCTTTCAGTACAGAAAAAAAATAAAGGCTTGTAATTTCTTCCGAAACCTTGGTGTTTGTTGTTAGTGATGCAGGATAGTCAGGCTGGTCCTTTTTTCCACAGAACTCTTCTCCTTTCCTCATCTCCTGCATTCTTTCTTTTATCCTTTCCAGCCCAAATCCTTCACAGGTGCAGAGATGTGCTCTCAATTCTGTTGTAGAATGAGAGGCTGGTGGTTCTGCAGTCAGTTGCTGTCTTTGTGTGGTAAGATGGGCTTGCTTTCCATCAGAGGTTACCACTAACTAGTTCAGAGTTATGTTCTGCTTATTTAAGTACTCAAAAGACAGATTTTTAACTTGGGGAAGCTAAACTTCTGCACTCTGGTTTTTCATGCACGTGCACACGCGTGCCCTCCTAATAACTGCGATCCTAAGAACCGATTTCAACAGAACCAGACAGCTCTCCAAAGCTATCGCATTCCTAGAGTATCACAACAGATAAACAATGCAGTCAAGGAGAATGGCAGCTGCACACGTAGCTGTACCGCACACCTCCCTCCCCACCTGCTAATACCAGAGAATTGGCACAGGGGAGAGAAACCTTTAGTGTGCCTCCTGAAAAAGCCCCTCTCAGCCTAAGACCTGCTTGTCTAAAGCCAAGCTCTGTCATCCTTTGGCTTCCTCCATCGTTCATTCCTTCTCGTCCCCCCAACAAAAGGCAGCGTGTGGCTCTGTTTAATTCCTGACATCAAAAAGACCTTTGTTATCCCTATTGTAGCAGCCGCACCTCCTGACAGATCCTCGACAACGAAACCCTGGGATGTGTTGCTCACCTCCCTGCCACGCTCCCTGGCTGTACTTCCCCTCCAGGACCTGGGGAACTCGCTCGTCTCTGCATTTTGCACAAATTAGTTTTTTGGGGGCTAGTGCTTTAGAAGCTGTTGTTGGGAGTCATGTCAAAGTGGCTGGCTGGAAAAAGCTGACCTGCTCGTGTTTGGGAGGGATGGTTTTCTGATTGAGCAGGGGAGAGCAGGCAGCTGGGCTCACACAGCAGCCTCAAGAGCTGTGTGGCAGGAAAATTGAAGCCGTGCTGTGCTCCTGCAACATCTCATAGCCTCTGTATGATAACACCCAGCTCGCAGGGGCACGTTTGTGAGACACGGGTGAATTCTGCTACAGGAATCATTTCCTTTTCCTTGCATACCTGTTTTAAAGTCAATTCATTTTGTATGGACAACACTCTGTTGTTTGCTCTATGCAAACAAATGCTCACATTGTACCAGACAAGCTGTTTGCAGAAAAGTTTTGTTTGGTTTTGTTTGTTTGTTTTTAAAGATCTGCATTAAGAAATAAATACCAAGGCCATTCATCCAGTCCAGAAACATAAATAAAAATACTACAGCACATCTAGCCTAACAAAATGAAGCAACAGGCTGACTTCCAAACGTTTATGACTCAATCCCACTGCCAGCAAAGGGGACCAACAACAGCTATGTTGAAATAACTGCTCTGGGAAAGCCACGCTGCAGTACCATCGCCCTGTGCCCGGGATGGGAAGAAAAGCACTACCTGGCTCCCTCCTCCTGAGCAGCTCACAACTCTGCCAGGCAGCTGGGCTCTGGAGAAGCCCCACGGCTGCGTGGTGCTGCCTATGGACACATCAGGAGCTGCCTTCTGCAGATGAGGACCACTTGATAGCAAAGAGAAAGATTTTTAGTGTTGTTTTTTTTTTTTTTTCAGAAATAAAAGGCAGCCAGCTTTCAAGGGAGGCTGCTCAGCCAGCTAGACTGCTCAGCCACCGAATCGCCTCTTGACACTTTCACCCAGCCCTAGGTAAATACCTCCCAGCGTGCAGTTACGGAGCACTTTATCTAAAATTGACTGCCTAATTACCAGAACTCTGAGTCCTCTAGTTACAGAGCATTCCCCAAAACTGTTTAATCAGCACTTCAGGAAAGAGTCACCACGTGAACATTGTACTGTTAAAAAAACCAAGCATGGTTTTATCTCATTTGCAAGAGGAGCAGCTGGGAGGAGGGCAGCCCTAGAGCCCAACACCCCACAGAGCCAAGGAAGGGGAAGGCCAACAGCAAACTCACCTGGTGGGCAGAGCCGAGCAGCAGAAAAGGTAACAACAGCCCCATTGCTGATAGATCCTCCGTGCTCTCAGCCAGCGGAGGGGAGCAAAGCCAAAGCACAGCAAGGCTGCTCCCAGCAGCTTTGAAGAGCTGGGACCCGAGGACTGCTGGGAACCGCACTGGTCCAGGGCTCCTTGGTTGCAGTGGGACGGGATCCTCACCTGGCCATGTTCCTGTGCTCTGAGGGCTGTCAGGCTTGCCCTGGCAGGAGGCCAGGCCAGAGTTTCTCTCCTGATGTGTCGCCTGGTCCATCACAGCCCAGCTCCAGCCCTTGCTGCTGGTCCAGACCAGTCAGGAGCGGGATGCAGTGCCCCATGTGCCAGGAGCGCTCTACCAAGAGGAACTAGGTTGGGAATGGATGCTCTAGAGTGTGTGCAACAGTTTTCCTCGTTGTAAACCAACAAATTGCCCCATATTGATCATGGCAGCCAAGATGGCCGCAGATACCAGCCATAGGCCTGACGATGAACACAGAGCCTGCAGAGCATGGGGCAGAGCCTGGGCAGATCTTGGACTGGAAATGGTGTTTCCATAGCTGGACTTAGATTAATGCTGAGCACTACCTACCAGCAGGGAGGTAACGAGACCTGTGGTTGTGCTGAGCTTGTCAGCATGGGAACAATTTCTGCTTGGAGCCCAGACTTTAAATCCCAGCTAGGTGATATGGAAACAGAGGCTATGCTTCTGCTCAGATGGGGAAAGGAGGAGGAGAAGACCTCTACCCTTACAGATTATTTTGGGTGTGTTGGAGTTCCCAAAAAGCATCAGCTAAAAGAGCCCTGGGGAGAGGGGGAAGAGCAGCTTATGTCAATAGAAAGTAATTTTTCTCATCCCACAAAGTCAGGGGACGCTCCACATTGGGGTAGATACTAGGGAAGAACATTTGGGAGGTGAAACTTGCTCATTTCAGCAAGGGTTGAGCAGTGAAAGTTACACGGAGGATTGAAAGCTCACCTAAAGAAGTAGCAAGTGCAGATTTTCTGGTACTGCTAGGTGGATCCTGCAGCCAAGGCCAAGGGCTGTAGAAAGCAGTTTCACATCACTGTTGACTGCAAGCATCATCAATCTGCCACTGAAGGTCACCCCTTTCCTTGCAACACATCTGCCTCTGTACAGGTACAGGACAAGTCCCCAAAATCATCTACTTCAACAGGGTTTGGTTTTGCTTGGGGCTTGGTTTCCTCTGCCAGCAGCTCTGTGAAGTGACCCAAGTCATTGTGCAGCCAACACCGTCACTGCTCTGTGGGCAGAGAAGCACCAGGGACAGGCAGCTGGAGAGGGCAGGGGGGGCTGTCCCGTGATGTAGATTCAGTAGCTGGACCGGATCAAATACAACATGGAATTGCACCCTTTGGTGACCGAGTCCCTCTTTCAGAGGTGTCCAAATGACCAGGGAGCAAAGTCCCGTTGGTTTTCAGTTTTAAAGACAAATATAAGAAAATCTTTAAAAATATAGACTCACACACAGAAAGAAATTTAGGGGGTTCAGTGCTGTGAGATCAGGGGGAGCAAAAGTCTGCAAACCCTTTGTAGATTGGGCTGCAGGGCACAGGATTGCATGGGGGGAGGACTAGCCATGCCTTCAGGTACTTTGCAGCCTCAGCCTACAGAGACAACACAGCCACAGAGACACGCTTTCTATGTTTATTGCATGCAGAAGAATGACCCAACTGGAAAACACTCTGGCTCTCCCCCCTTTCTGGGCATAACCACATTTAACCTACTGCCAGCGGAGTTCTTGCAATCAACCCCCCTTTGCTGTCACAGCAGCACCCGGGGAGACTGCGGGGATCCCTGTGCATCAGGCCCTTACACGCTCACGATCACGCTTTCTTCCTCGCACGGCCAAGCTGCGTTGGGAAGCAGATAGCTAAGAGAGAAGAATATGCAGCCCTAAATGCTAGATGCTCCGTTCCCGTGATCGCTGCTGCCTCCATGGGCAGAGGTGTTATGAAGGGATGAACTCCTGAACGAACCAGATCCAGTACGTACCTGAATCCATTCAGTGCCTGAACCGCGAGAGCTTGGGGGAACGGCTTGCTTGGTGGTACCGCTGATACCCCTCCGACATGGCTGGGAGCAGCAGGAGGCTGCTCAACGAATCCTTGTGGCAGAGGGCCATGGCCTCCTTGTAATTTATCTTCTCTTTAGTGACAGGGTCAATGAGATCTTTTTCATAGTTGGACTCATCCTGGAGCCTGTTGGCCAGGTCGCCTGTTATCATCCCTGTCTGGGCAGCTTCCAGCACGGGGATGCGGCCAGTTCTCTTGGGATCAATGAGCCCTCCAGTTAGATGCTGGACCTCCAGGTAAGGGAAAGCACTGTCCTTGGTCATCCATCCCTTCTGAACTGCTTCCCCCACAGACAGCCTTCGCTTGGTCACCGGGTCCTCAATCCCTGTGAAAGCTTTCTGGGCATTGAGCAGTCTCTGCATGTAGGTCCTGTCAATCAGCCCCCTCTCGATCGCCTTATGGACTGAG